CTTCTTTTTGCTCCCTCAACACATCACCTCACAGCAAGGTGATTAAATGCACAGGATCTGCAGTCATCCGGCCTCCGCAGAGTATCTACGGTTCTGGACCTCAGCCTCTCTGGAAGTTTCCTGAATGGGAAGCAGGGGACTAGAAGTGGTGTGTGCACATAGGTGCTCGGCAGTGTCGGCCCACAGTAAGACTCACTGAGTGACAGCTGATCCTGCATAATTGCCCATGGTATTCACTTGTCTAAAGGTACTTAAAATGCCAAAGGCAGAAGGTTGTTTTTTCCCCTACCTATGCAAGTCTGGTTTTGAGAAGAGCCTCTCTGCTTTGGAAACAAACTGAAACAGGTCCATATCACGAGTTCAAATACTTCCTATTCGTTTTTCATAGGGAAACAAATGACTCTGACCAGGCATGACCAAACTGGGTAAAAGGTTCTGTTCCAAACAGTGGTTAGGATCCCACACTAGTTCGTTTAAAAACAGAATAAAATAAAAATCATCCATAAAGTAGCTGAGCTAGGACAATGATAGGGTTTGCACGAGTTCTCGGTTTTAGGAATCAGAAACCTACGCTAGGCCAAAAAGTATAGGAGGGAAGGGGACAGGTTTCCTGAGCTTTTCAGGGAGTAGACTTGTAATCAACACTCTTTCCCGATCCCACGGCCCAGCCCGAGGTCCCTGAAGACCCTACACTGTGCTAAGTGTACCTGCTGGGGCACCCACAGGTGTTCCCCTCTGGATGCTTCAGAGACATCTCCTCCGACTCTGCCCGTTTTGAAGGAATACATCAGTTTAACCTAAATGCACCTCTCATAGACCACTTCAAGCAGATAATGCAAAAGTGAAGAGAAGGACAACATGAAACAGTGCAGGGATGGTTGGAACAGAGAAAGGATGACCCCCAGATCGGAGGTAAGTCCACCCCAGTCAGTTGCCTTTGACTGGTCTGTGACAACACAGCTCTGGAACCAAACGCGTGAGTCTGAAGCTGAGCCCACCATTCCCAACGGGGCCATCACTGAGCTCTCCGTGCAGGAGACAGGGGTGCCATGAGGATGGAGTGTGCCGCCCCCCACCGAGCAGCCACTCAGAACAGGCCCAGCACACAGCCACCTGCCTCCATGTGCTCCTGCAGAGACCACCATTGAGACACTGCTTACCCACTTCTCCTCCTCTCCCACTCACAAACCCAACGACTCAATCACAAGGCAGCTGGAGGGGGTAAAGTGAGGGAAGGCAGGGAGGGGTGGCAGGGAGGTGTCGCTGGGACCCTCATAAGTGGGCATTTTGTAGGCTGGGACAGCCTGCAGCAGTGTGTTGTCATAACCCAGCGGGTGATGGGCCGGAGAAGTATCGTCCACCCCTGGTCCTCCCTCTGGGCTGCTCTGCCCCTGTTTTCAAGTTCCAATGCTGATGTATCAGCAACAGAAAAGAGGCAGGAGAAGAGACAGGACGAAGCCAGACCAACCAAAGTTTCACGCTGCCTTTTGTGTAGTTAGCCGTTTTAAGATAGCAAGGAAAAATCAATAAAAGCTACTAGTCAACCGCCTGATGGAATGCTGCTCCCCTCCTTCCAGAGTCTACCAGACCAGATCCTTCCCTAGATACACGGTCAAACAGACCTCTGTAGACCTGTCTAATGCAAGAAGACCCTCTCCTGGCCTTCAGCCAAACATACACACACACACACGTCTGCTCTTTCCTCCTCCCCAGAGACAGTGAGGAGGTACCTCTAAGGACTGACCACTTAGCAGACGCTCCTGCCTTTCCTCTTCCACCTTCCACCAGGGTTCAAACAAACAATCCTACTTCTCCCTTCTTAATCTGATTATTACCACTTTATTCTTTTTGTTTTTCAATTGTGGTAATTTTTTCTTCTCTGTGAAGACTGACACTGACAAAAAGTGAATGAACTGCAGAGTTTTTATGGCAACAGTTTCCCTGTCCTCCCTCCCCAGTTTCTTGATTACCATAGTAAGCCTTAACACCAGAAGACAGCTAAAGCCCACACCAAGAAAACAGCAAGTCACGTGCAGCTGAGCCCCAGAAGGAAGGGATGTTGTTCTGTCCCCTCCACCACCCAACCCACTCCACTGGATCAGAGCTGAATTCTGAAAAGTGGAACCAAAGGTGACAGGAGGGTGCATGGAGGCAAGGGAAAGCCCGAAGAGAGTTTAGATAAATTTCCAAACAATATCCCCACCACTCACAGTGTACCACATTATTTGTAGAAGTTAGAAACCAAAAAGGGATCAGATTTTCAACTCTGCCACCTAAAGTAGAAACTGAGAGTCTTATTTACTGCACAGATTTTAGCCCAAGTGCCATGCCTCCAGGTTAACAATTTCAACCTGCAGCTTAAGTTTAAAAGCCTGGGTACTAAAGGAGTTACCTGGGTTAGAATATCACAAATTTCTTTTGTCCACAAACCATTTCAATTGTCTCCCTATCTATACTCCCCATCTGGCCTCATAAAACATTTCACACTCTCCAAATACAGATATTTTTTCAACTCATTTTTTTCTAAAGTAATGACCTGCCTAAAGAATGCTTATGGCCCAGGAATAGTCCAGAATCTTTTCCACTCTTCTACTTCAATGAAAAATGAAACCCCTGTACAAGGCACAGCCCATCAGAGCCAGGCAAGCAGCAGCAACAGGTGTCAGGGACTCTGCTGTCTGCTCCCCGTCTCCACTAACACCCACGGAGGTTAGAAGCACACACTTCAGAATCAGCCCAGCTTTGAGGCCTGACCTGCCTTGTCACGCATCTCACCAAACACTAGTTCATCATCTGTAAAACCAGGGAAAATAACATGTCCTACCTTGTAGACTGTCGTGGGGAACAAATGAGGTGATGTACGTGAAGCGCCTGGCACACATAAGCACCCAGCAAATGTCAACTATTCACAGCTGTCTAATAATCTGAAAAGCATAATGGTTTAGTATCTTTAAGTCTTCCAGGTTTCAAAAAAAGAGGGTTTTTTCCCTTATGAAAGTATTAGTGAAATTCCACATGAAGGAAAAATCAAAGTCCAACTTAGCTATCAACTCACAACTTAGAACAAATCACGTCCCCCCCCCCATTTCTTTATCCATAAAGTGGGAAATAATATACTGCACTAAACCTGATGACCTCAGACAAAAAAGAATCAGTGAGATAACAGGCGATTAAAAAAGCTTTCACTTCCTCAAAGAAAAGCAGTAAGGAAATCCAGAGTACAATTATTACTGAAACATCACATCCAGTATAACGGGACACACGTAAACCACTGATGTTACTCAGGCTTTCAAGAACATTAGGTCTGATAGCCTTTTAATCTGGTCACAATGAGCCTGGTACAGAAGGAGGGGGTACATGGCTGCTCCTTGCAAAGCCCAGTTCAGAGGTACAGCCCATCAAATCTAGGAGTGTGCCCTGTTTGCTAGTCAGGTGTCACCCACCCAGGCCATTTCTTAGATGCCAGTGCCAGGAGAAATTAGAAAAGGCTTATGGTTCCACCTGGACAGGTTAAACCAACATCAACCAAAATTCTTACCCACAGGAATTTTCAACAGACCCAAGAAAGGGTCCACTCTGACCCTTTATTCTCCTGTGCTGAGCAAGTAAGATCTCGTCTACGGTGCATACCATCCTTTCTGGAAAAAAAAAAGCACATTTGAGCTGGAAGGAAGAGCTCAATTGTTTCTTGTTTGATATTTACTTCTAGGTTCAGAGGTTTGAGTTTAATTTTTAACCCACCATAAAAATTTTGGTGTGAGAGCCAGAGGTTGGGATGGGAAGAAGAGTGGGGGGATTGGAGGGTTAGTCCTAACTTAAAAAGGGAGCATGCAAACAAAACTGTATCCAATTTCATCATCCACAGGTCTCCCAAACCCAAACAGGAAAGAAAAAAAATTACTTATGGTTATTAAACACTTACCCTGTGCCAGATATACTTGCACAGAATATTTGGTACACATTACCCCAGAGCCCATTTTCTGCCCCACACCTAGAAACACCATGATCACCGGCACCATACCAGGTGTGGGGTGGGGGGACCTCACAGTTTAGCAGTCACGTTCTAGACATTTCAAAAGCTAGCATCGTGAACACAAAAAGGCAGCTTGGTCTAAAGTTCCTACAGATTCTCTGCAAGAGGACCATCTAAACCCTGTTTTCCCGATAATTCTGGAATTAAGCCATGGTGTTTAGTATCCTATCCAAAAAGTAAAAACAATTTAAAATCCTGGAGCACAAGGAGAATTCACTGCAGGGCCACAACAACCTGAGCCAAGTTTCTGACCAAGTCCACTTGAGCATGAAGTAAGACATGTATACAAGCTTCTGGAGGGCTCTTTACAGAGGTGCTCGGAGGAGAGCCAGCACCAGGAGCTGCCATCTGCGTGGCCAGGTAAGGAGGGCAGGGCCTCCCCGCCCGCCCAGCGCAGACGCGGAAGGTCCAGCTCACTGCAAAACCCACCGCACCTCACCCGCACCCCCGGGGGTACGATCCAAACGGCTGTCTCCCGGGCAGACTGTCAGATGGGACTCGCCAAGTTTAAACGCCATCTCCCCATCCACGTCCCAGAAAATGAGAAGGTGTAAGCCTCGAGGAAAACACTGCTCACAACTGGCCTGCATTTCTCAGCGCTAAGCACTGATGTCACCGTAACCGATGCCTGCGGTAAACAGCCGCCACCTTAGAGCTCACGGGCTGAGTGCGGGGCTGCAGACGCCTTCCTTCAATTGAGTCTGCGGGGAGTCGGGAGACCAGGGCGGTCCGTGAGCCTCAGGGGACGGGGGACACGGGGCACACGGGAGATGGGGGGACCCGGGGGTTGGGGGACACGGGGAATGGGAGCACAAGGAGACGTGGGGACGAAGAACATGTGGGGAGAGGGGAGATGAGGGACACGGGGGAAGGGGGACACGTGGGGACCTGAGGGGACGGAGGGCCACCACAGGAATGAGGGAGTCGAGGTCCCGCCGCGCCCTCCCTCTCCGGCGTGTTTCCTCAGCTGCGCGTCCGCTCGCGGATCCCCTCGTGCCCGGCCTCGGCGGCGCCCCTGGCAAACACGTCCAGCCTCCCGCCCGCCGCCAGCGGCCCTGGACCCGGGCCTGCCGTCCGCTCCGGGGCTGCAGCGGCGGCCAGAGGGAGGCGCCCGGCCCGCGCGGGTCCCGGGCCAGGTCCGGAGCCCGTCTCACCTCCGCCTCATGCCGCGCTGCGCTAGCGTCCCGACCGCAGCCCGCAGTCCAGACCCTCGGCCGCGGCGTCCGGCGGCCTAGCCCCGCGGCGACCCGCCTCGGGCCCCTCAACCCGCAGCCGCCCCCTCGGCAGTCGGCGTCCCGCGCGAGCAGCACCACGGCTGCTGCTGTGGTAGCGGCGCTGCCGCCGGGTGGGGCGGACACATGGGAGGGCGGGGCTGCGGCCCCTGGGGCGCGACCACCGGACCCCGGCCTCGGGGCGCTGACTTCAGCGCGCCTCCGGAACCCGCTCTGCCGCCCGTCCCCAGGGACGCCGTCGCGACCCGCTGGCTCAGACTTTGCCAGAAGCTCATGGTTCTATGCAGAAGGTAAAGGAGAGGGCTGCCTCCACACCCGTCCTTCTCTCCGCTCCCCCCGCAGGTCCAGTGGTATATTCCTCAAAGCCCGCCCCGAGGGACTAGAGAGGAGCTGATTGGTTGAGAACCTTGGACGGGGGCGAGGAACCGCGCGAAATGACCAATGGAAAAGCATGGTGGGCACATCAAAGCCGGCCAGAAAGGGAGGAGAGAGGATGCTATTAAAGGGCACGTTATTGGTTGCGCTCTGTAGCCGCCGCACAACACAACTGGAATTTTCTATCTGATCCAATCCAGACAGGAAACAAAGAGATTGGGGATTCTCAAATGTTGGAGTTAAGAGAGCGAAAAGAAAATATGGAGAGAATTGAAGAAGATATCTGCGTGTGCCTTTCCGCCGTGCCATTGTCAGTTGTCTCATCTAATCCAATAAGGATACTGAAGTAGAATTGATCTCTTGTAGTCCTCATACTTTGCAAGTCTATAATCCTTGGCTTGGGATTAGCAATATTTACATATGTTCTTCAGTTTGGGGCATCAGCTGAAGAACTTTGATTGAAAGTTGACACCAGTTCCTTTGTACAGTCAGTATTAACCCCACCTTTTGTGAAGAGAAAGTCAATATCCTTTCTGACTCCCTCTCTGAAAGCAGAGCGTTCTTTTCATATGTGGAGAGCCACACTTTGCCCAATAATTTCTACTCTAATTTGACTCCTACTGAGAGTCACCTCCTCATCTTCTCTCTTCCTCCACATAATCAGACAACACCTTAGTAAATAATTCATTTGCCTGTTGAACTGTCCAGAGCCCCTGGCTTCAGCAACAGGTCTTGCTGGTCAGGCCTCATCAGAATCCCAAAGTGCTGGTCACTATCTCAAGTCTGTGGCAGCCATTTAACTCAACAAGGACGGTGAGCTCTCCGTCTTCCTTGACTGTCAAATTCAAGACTTGAAAGCATCCTGTAAGGGTCCCACCTACTCTCTTTTAGAGGTTTACACGGGCAGCAGGCTGCACTTTGCTAACAACCCTCCCGACCTAACTCCACTTTCTTTTTTCAGAACTTTTTAATTTGACTGTGCCAGGTCTTAGCTGCAGCACCAGGGATCTTTCTGAAGTTGCCACACATGGAATCTAGCTCCCCGGCTAGGATAGAACCCAGGCCCCCTGCATTGGGAGCCTGAAGCCTTAACCACTGGACCACCAGGGAAGTCCCAAAACTTTTCAACCTCCCTACACCCCTCAACCCTCTTCCAAATTGTGTCAGGTGTCTGGGGTACCCTTAGTAGCTCCACTCCCCAGCCAAACAACTCGTCTTCCAACTATTAGGCAGAGTTTGAGAAAGTCCAGTTCCTCCATGAAGGCTTCCCAGTCTGATGAACAGAAGATTCTGGCTTATAGAGTTCCTACTTCTACTTCTAATCTGTGTTCCCCAGACCTTGATTTTCTGCCCTATACTATGCAATTTTTGTTGACATATTTACCTCTCTCCTTCATTTACAGCAGCAGCTGCTGCTGCTTACATTTAGCATGAATAAATGCTTCCAGTACACTGTTTGGAAGTGCTTTGCATGTATCACTTCATTTCAGCCTCAGACAGGCTTAGGGAAGTTGACTTGCTCAAGGCACACACAGTGGAGGTCTAACTACATTGCCTACCTTCACATACCCCACAATGCAAGGCTATCTCCTATTTCTTGAGAACCAACTGCATTCCATACAAAAGATAATGTGATGTACCTGTATCGTGTTTTGCACTGATCCCTGTACCTGTAATATTTCAGCCTCAAACAGTCACGTCAGGAAGGTTAGGAGCAGTTTGTTACAGGCAAAGCTGCAAATGGACTGATGCACTTGCCTCCTGTAACAATGCTGTTGAATAAGGCATTTAGTTTTCCAAGTTGTGGACTGGCCCCTGCAACCCCTGCTCCTTGAGTGAACACAGACTTTTCATGTGTAGCAAGTAGAGAATCTTATAAGCAATTGGGGAAGAAATACAAAATAGCAACAATAACAAAAAAAAAAAAAACACCCCACACCATGGAACAGAGAAGCCTGGTACAGCAAGTGCTCTCAGTGGACTTGTATAAACCGGGAGAAGCACCTTCTACTTCACTTTGCTGGCTTATTGCTCATATGTTGTCAATGAGAGTATGTCTTTGACACATCTGGCAAATTCCACAGAAAAGGGCAACAAAAACTGCACCCCGCTCCCTATGGTGCCTGGAGACAGGATCAACCCATGCCCGTGACAAAGGGGCTTCCCTGTGTGGGGTTGCTGACTCTAATTCGGGGAACTTCCTGATTTGCCATGGAGTGAAATATCCTGCTCCACTGACAGTGGTGCCACAGCTTGAAAAAATAAGCTGGGCTAATGATTTCATTCTTTTTAAACTGCTGAAATCGTCACAGGGATGGGCAGGCCAGCAAAATGGCGTGGGAACCAGTCAACTTTAGATATCAATTGAGAAGGCTGAGCATGGCCATCCTGGAGTCAGTATTTCCAAGTTGCTGTCTGCCTGACCCAGCCCTTACCCATCCAGTTAATTTTCACTCCCATAGTGCTTCTGTCTTTTCCCATCCCCAGAGAGCTCTAAAATGCCTCTGCTCATCTGAGTGTTTTATTTATGCATCCAGGCATTTCTTGGGCACTTACTATAAGCAAAGAACTGTCAGGTTGTGTGAGGTAATCCTGATGGATCGCCCAGGAAGCCTGCACCTACTGATTAGATGAGTGTGGAAAACATCAGACCCCCTTGGTGAGAAGTGGATCAGATCAGCAGGTGCCGGACTCTATCCCCAGCTAAACATACAAGCTAGCATTAGACCACTCCTGCCCCAGGGCAGGAGGAGCATGGGATGGAGGTTGGGGAGAGGGCCCTTGTTGGGGAGGAAGATGGAGAGATTGAAGGCACCCAGGAATAACTGCACATGAACCAAACAGAAGGCAGGATGATGTCCATCCATAATTTGGCCATTGAAAAAATTGTGGCATGGTCTGTGTTACTTTTAAGAAAAGGAAAATTCCTGATTTCCAAAGTAATACATGTCCGTCATTTTAAAATGTTTAATAGGGAAAATTACAAAAATAATAAAAAATCTAGCCATTCCTCTTACCAGCATATCAATGTTACAATTTTGATATATGTTTTTTCCTATACTTTTTTGTGTGTGTACATGTGTATGTATTTTCTTTTTTGTATGTATCTCCCCTGCCCCCAACCAGGGATCCAACCCATGCCCCCTGTAGTCTTAACCACTGGACTGCCAGGGAAGTCCCCCTGCGTATATCTTTTTTTAAATAAAAATTGACCAAACTGCTTTGTAATCTATTAATACTTTCTTCTTAACAAGACCAGGAATTTTCCCATGCTACGTAGATTATTCTAAAAGATGATTTTAAATGGTTGCATCATATGGCTATACCTTAAGTTATTTAATTCTATTTTTAGGTATTAAGATTATTTTCAATTCTTCATTATTATAGTAACTTCAAGGATTATCCATATATGTAAATGTTTATATATTTTTACGATTATTTCCTAATATTTCTAGAAATAGAATTGCTTGGTCAAAATGTATGCACATTTTTAATTTATTTTAAATGGAGGCTAATCACTTTACAATATTGCGGTAGTCCCTGCCACACATCAACATGAATCAGCCACAGGTGCACATGTCTCCCCTGTCCTGAACCCCGCTCCCACCTCGCTCCCCAACGCATCCCCTGGGCTATCCCAGATCACTCACTTTGAGTGCCCCACCTCATGCATGCAACCTGCACTGGTCATCCATTTTATGGTAATATACATGTTTCTCCCAAATCATCCCTCCCTCGCCCTCTCCCACAGAGTCCAAAAGTCTGTTCCTTACATCTGTGTCTCCCTCACTGTCCTGCATATATTTCTAGAAGTGGAATTGCTTGGTCAAAATGTATGCACATTTTTAAAATGTCTCACATATTGCCAGTGGTCTTTTGGAAAGTTTACAGCAGTTCCATCCTCACCAGCCATCTATGATGTGGCTATTTCTCTGAACCCTCGCCAATCCTGGACATCTCTTTTGTACTCCTTGCCATCTGACAGATGAAAAACAATATTTTGTTTTGATTATCATGCTGTATCTATCTTTAACCCATCAAGGTGATAAATACATATCCTTCCTTCCAAGTCCCCTGAATTGAATAGCAAAATGAGTGCTTCCTTTCCTCCCCATTCAGCCACTCTTCTCCCAAATCCCTGAGAACAGATAGAGAAATCAAGAGGAAAATCTGCTCAAATGACTAGACAAACTCAGGGCCATGTCACCTGAACCAGTAAAGAAGGTAGTGGAACAGATGGCTCAATAGAGCACATATGCTCTAAATTACGACTTTGAAATGGGTAACAAGTCCTTACACAGAAACTTTTTTAGCTATAAAAGGAGATGAGTCCCCTGAGTTATATTTAGTACTGGCTAATACGAAAATCATTTGCATTTCTTCAACAACACCCAGTTCTGTGATGGGGCAAGTCCATGATGAGCCATCCTTCCATATCGAGTGGCCAAGCCACCCAATGTAACTCTCAATTCCTGCCCAACTTTCTGGTCCCTTGGCTTTGTTTTTGTCTTGTGGCTTTCTCCACAGCCTCTTCTCCCCTCCAGCTGTCAGTATCCTAATTTCCCACTGAAGAACTTATCCCTCCCCCATTCCCAGCTGTGTTTGGTCAGGGTTGAGTCCAACCCCTCTCTGGACTTGATGTGGGATGCAGAAAGCTCTGGGAGCTGCTAGCAGCCATCCTGGGCCATGAGGTTGAACCTGCACCAGAAAGAGAGGAGTTGAGAAAGTGAGAGGGGAGCTACGTCAGGTCAAATCCGTGAGCTCTGATGCAAGTCTCTTGGGGAGCCTGTGTGTAAAACAATACCTTCCCTCTTTCTTTAAAAAACTTAAACCAGTTTTGGCTAGCTTTCTGCCATGAGCCAAGAATGCTGACCGAAACACTGCCTGTGGATGGATTCCATGGTGCAGTAGGAACCCAGTCCATTCAACTCAAGTATTCTCAACGTCACTGCCACTAGTTCAGTTCGTCATGACCCCAAGAGTGTTCTGATGCAAGGTACCCACCAAGGAAAAACCAAG